GGGAAGAGTAAGGTGGTTTAAGGGAGCCCGGTGAAGATTAGAAAGGACAACATGCAAAGGGAGAAGAGACTGGTCAAGGACCGCTGGGCAAGCCCCTTGGGCTTCTGGAGTGTGGAGACGATAATGGGGTCATGGCCATGACGACTGCACTGGAGAGGCCCTCCACCTGTGCTCAGTTACTAGTGAACCAGTAGAGAAAGCCAACAGTGGTGGACCCATTTAAAATAGAGGATGAGCAGGGAGACAGAGACAAAGGGCAAGGCCACAAGTGAGTTGATGGCTCTTAAGAGAGAATTGTGGCTGAGGCATCACCTAGCGGTCAGGGGAGGTGGATCCCACATGGCTGACCACACTACAAATACGGCCCTGGAGGCTTGAAAGATATGCTGGGTGCCTTGCCAGTGTCATGTTCCAGATCCTGAGAGGATGAAGAAATGGAGAAGGGATTGCAGCGTGACCATGCCCCATAATAACATATCGTTATAATTTAATTTTAGAATACTTCTATCACCCTAAAAGATAAACCCTATATTCGTTTCAAATTTCAAATCTCCATTCCCATCCTGAGTACTAGGCAACCATTAATCAGCTTTCTGTCCACATAGATTTGCTTTTTCCGAGCATTTTAAATAAATGGGATCGCACGATTTGTGGCCTTCAATATCCATTCTGGCTTCTTTTACTTAGTACAATATTTTTTGGATTTGGCCAGCCCTAGCCTGGTACTTTAGGGAGCCAGGTCCCACATGGCTGACCATGTGGTTCAAATCCTGGTCCTGGCAGCTGGAAAAACATGCTGTGTGCATGCATTGCCCCAAATCCCAATAGGATGGAGAAAAGGAAAAGGGACCTCACCCCACTGAGGGGTGCTCTCTCTTTCTCTCTCTGGCACATGCACCCTCTAGCAATGATTAATCATACACACACACGTGTGCATATGTAATTTTTATTTATCCATTCATCAGTTAATGGACATCTGAATTATTTACAGTTTATGGTTATTATGAATAATACTGCTTTGAAAATTTGCAATATAAGGCTTTTGGTGTATTTGTTTCTTGGTATACACCCAGAAGTGGAATTGCTGGATACTATGGTAATTCTGTGTTTAGCTTTTGAACAAACTGCCAAACCATGTTCTAAACTGTCTGAAACATCTTACATTTCCACCAGCAATGTAGAAGGACTCCTATTTCTCCATATTTTTTGCCAACATTTCTTATTGTCTGTTGTATTATTACCACCATCCTGGTGGATGTGAAGTAGTGTTTCACTGTGGTTTTGATTTGCAATTCCCTAAAGATCAATGAGGCTGAGAAGTAAGCATCTATTCATATGTAGCCATTTGTATATTTTTTTTTGTAAAAATGTCTATTTGAGTCTTTTGCCCTCTTTTTTTTTTTTTCTTTAAGTTTGTCCATTTCTTTCTTTCATGATTGAGAGAGAGACACAGAAGGACAGAGAAACAAGGTCCCAGGGTCCCCACGCCACAGTCTACCCCCAGCCTTGGCAAGCTCCAGACCGTGAGTATGTGTGCATCTGGTGCGTTCAGAGAGGTCTCTGGATGTAAATCTGGAACTTCCCAGTGGGCATCAGCCTCACAGAGCATTGTGTCACTGCTGTGTCACTGTCCACAATCCCCTGCCAAAGGGTGCATGTGCTTGAGGGATGGTAGAGGGAGCATCAGCCAGTAGGGCATGGTCACGCTGCAATCCTTTCTCTCCATTTCTCCTCCCCATCAGGATTTTGGGCAAAAACACACACATGTGCCTGGTGTATTTTTCAAGTGGTCAGGCTGGATTTGAACTGCAGTCAGTCATATACAATCTGGCTCCCAATGCACAGCACTTAACCACGGTGCTATCAAGCTGCCCACCACCCCTCATCCATCGTTTGATTTTTGGTTACAGTCTTCCTATTATTAAGTGGTAAAAATTCTTTATATATTCTAGATACATGCCCTTTGTTCGATATAGGATTTAAAAATTATTTTTTCCTAGACACGGCTTGGATTTTCATTTTCTTACTGGTATCTTTTAAAGAGCAAACATGTTTAATTTTGATGAACTCTAATTTATGAACTCCAGTTTCCTAAACTGGAAATAAATCATGCTTCAGGTGTCAAATCTAAGAAGTATTTGCCTAACCCAAAGTCACAAAGATTTTTCTCTTTCTTCTAGAAGTTCTACAGAGATATCAACTCACAAATCATAAGATATGCTTTCAATATAAATATACAGGTCAAAGAAGAAATGGGGCTGGCAGGTGGCATAGTGGCTAAGGTGTTGGATTCTCACATAGCTAACTGTGGTTCAAGTCCTGGACCTGGCAGCTTGCTTTCTCACTTTCCTTCTCTCCTGGTCAAATAATAATAATAATAATAACAATAATAAATAAAATGAACAGATTTTTAAAAAGAAATACATTCCCAACCTGTAGACCCAACAGTCAGTCCCCTCTGATATCTTCTCTCAGCTGTTCTCAAAGAAGTATTGAGGTATCTCTGCTATGGTATGAATGTGTAACCCTAAAACTCCTTAAGCTGTCATTGTAACCCCTAAGGTAATGATATTTGGAGGTGGGGCCTCTGGGATGTGATTAGGTCATAAGGGCAGAACTTTAATGACTGGGACTAATGTCCTTATAAAGGAGACCCCAAAGATCTGCCCTGCCCCTCCCAGCATGTGAGGACAGAGAGAGAGGGGGCCATCTCTGAACCAGGAAGCAGACCCTCACCAGACACTGAATCTGCTGGCACCTTCATCATGGACTTCCCAACTCCAGAACCGTAGAAACAAATGTTTGTTGTTCATAAGCCACCCAGTATATGGGATTTTGTTACAGCAATCCAAACAGACGACAATAGCCTCTCAAACTCAGTCTATGCAGATTCAAACTCATGATCTCCTTCTTGTAGGCCAAGTCTTCTCTGAAGCTTCTTTCAATAAGTAGCACATCTATCTGCCTGGCTGCAAGCCTAGGACATTAGAGTCATCTGAGACACAGCCCTCGCCCCAGAACTCTACTTCCAACCACTCGTCGCATCTTACTGATGTAACTCTGACTACCTCTTGAATTGTTGATGTCATCTTTATCTTGGCCACCATGATGCCATTCTCTCCAGGGGACTTTGGTGGAACCTCCTACATGGTTTCTTTGAACCCACACGTACCCACCTAACCCATTCTGCACACTAACGGTGGAGGGGCTTGAAACACTGCTATCATCATTGTGTCACTCCTACTTCAATGGCTCCCAACATAAAGACAAAACCTTCACATGGCCTGGACAGCCTGTCTACCTCCTCACCAGTCTCTTCTCTGAGATACGTTCCCTTTTTTCTCTCTGTTCCGTAAGTCGTCGTACTTACTGTTTCCCGTCCAACCACGTGGCCTTTGCACGTGCTACTACTTCTCCTTGGATCACGCCTTCCTTTCCTTCCCACTGTGTTAATTCCTACTTAACTACCCTTCGTATCTCCGTCAAGTATCACTTTTGTAGGGAAGGCTTTCCTGACCTCCCTGACAAGGCCAAATGCCCCAGTTATTATCGTTCCCATAGCTCTCCTTAGCATGTAGAGCCGCTGTAGTTTCAGCATTTATACTGGATGATTAGATGATGTCCTGATGCCTTCCCTACTAGACCAAATGTTCCATGAGGACAAAGAATATGTTTGGTTTTATTATCACTGTATCCATAGCACCTGGCACTGACCCTGGACACAAAGCAGCCCCAGAACAACACCTGGTTGAATGGATAACTGAGTAATGGTAAGGTCATTTGGGATAAAATAGGACTTGAGGTGGAGATGAAGAGGGTGAAAAGTGATATGCCCATATCTTCAAGGAATAAAGGGGGGTGACATGGACAGGGAAGGGTAGAGGATCAAACAGATACAGCGGAAGCCCCCGGGGCAGGACTGCGAGAAGGTGGGCATGTCTAGGAGTGCAGAGCTTGGCAAACAAAAGAGAGACAGACTTTCCCAGAGAGAACCACCTCCTTCTCTAGAGCAGAATTTCTCAGGATAAGGAGAAACGTCCCACAGTAATCAGTATCCAACGGGGCCGAGATTCTTCCCAGAAGCAGCAGCAAAACTGTCATTCACTAAAGGAAGTTGTTGGTCAATGACAATGGGGCAGATGGTGGCACCCTTATGGTGACCACTGAATCTCCACAGATCTGCCACAACTGCTCTCTTGAGGAATGAGTCAACAAACATGGAAAAGCTTCCACACCCCAACTGGCACGGTGTGAATCATTAACAGCCCTTTTTCTTTCTTTCTTGCACACTAAAAATCAGATGGGGCCAGCTGAGGATGTGGTGGTTAAGGCAGCGGCGTCACACATGGCAAAATATATGGTTCGATTCCTGGACGCAGTGGCTTGAAGACTCACCCCAGGCACCTGTGCACACATGCCTAAAATCCTGAGAGGAGAATGGAGAAGAGATGGCTGTGTGGCCATCCCTCGTGAGGGGTGATTTCTCACTTCTTTCTCTCTGGCACTCTGGCAAGCCCACACGCTCTATAGCACATTAAAACAAACAAACAAACCAAACCTCCAGATGTGTAAGGCCTGAATTTAAACCCTGTCCATGTAGTCAACAAACATGGAAAAGCTTCCACACCCCAACTGGCACGGTGTGAATCATTAACAGCCCTTTTTCTTTCTTTCTTGCACACTAAAAATCAGATGGGGCCAGCTGAGGATGTGGTGGTTAAGGCAGCGGCGTCACACATGGCAAAATATATGGTTCGATTCCTGGACGCAGTGGCTTGAAGACTCACCCCAGGCACCTGTGCACACATGCCTAAAATCCTGAGAGGAGAATGGAGAAGAGATGGCTGTGTGGCCATCCCTCGTGAGGGGTGATTTCTCACTTCTTTCTCTCTGGCACTCTGGCAAGCCCACACGCTCTATAGCACATTAAAACAAACAAACAAACCAAACCTCCAGATGTGTAAGGCCTGAATTTAAACCCTGTCCATGTATGTGCATACCTTGGTCCATCCAGGAAACTGGATAAAGGTGTCCTGAGGCAAGTCTGGAATCCCGCTGGGAATGGAGAAGTTCCCCACATAAAAGGCCGGGAGTGTGTAGTTGGATGAGCTGTGGGCCCAGGGGTTATCATGGTGGTGGCTGTCGTGGCCGGCCCAACCCCCCAGGTGACTGCGTACTGCATCCTCAGTGTCCAGCGGGAAGATCGCCCAGTCCGTGAGGATCTGGGTGCCGAGAGTCAGGTTAGAAACCAAACCCTGCAAAGGAGAAATGAAGGACAGTCAGTGGGAGGGAGAAAGAAAAGGCCTTCAAATGTCTCTGCTCCAGCCTGAATTCCCAGGAAAACCAAGCTGGGATCCAAAACGCCAGCAGCCAGGGAGAACCAAAACGTGGCCACCAAATAACACCAACATATCTCCTTGGGAACGGGTGCGTTCCCCGAACTACGGCTTCCTCTCGCGTTGGGAGGTCAGAATATCCCCACAAAAATCCCCTATTTTCATACAGCATTTGACCCAGATCTCCCCATCTTCAGTGGCTAGCCCAGAGCCACTGCTGAAATGGAAGAAGAGGAGGGATCTGGGGAATGGGAGATGCCTGAGTGAGGGGTGTGGAAGAACAGTCGCCCCGCCATAGGTGGGAGGGAGGGAGAGAGGGGTGGTCTCTGCCCTTCCCGTGTAACCAGGAGCAAGCCTTGACTGGGGCACTTCACAGCTCTCCAGCGATGACCCGCCTGAGTCCACGCACCTGCCCTGGGGCCACATGAGATAACAGAAATGAGAAAGGGTACCAAGGGTGATGGTGATAGGGCGAGCCTCAGACACGTCCTTGGAAGGTGGTCAGTGGCCAGGGCTGGGTGTCCCTGGGCCGAAGCCTATGCTCCTTGTTCATCTAACTCCCCTCCCAGCCTTTGATGCGGGAACCTCCCTGCCGGTGGAAACCCAGATTTATCTTAGGTCACCTTCCAATGCCAGGTCTTAATTATCCATTCTGTAATTCAACCAACAAGCAGCCGTGGGCCAGACTCTTGGCGGGGACCGTGTGCGTGCGTGCCCAAGATCCCAAGAGGAGAACGGAGAAGGGATTGCGGTGTGGCTATGCCCTAGGGGATGATTTCTCACTTTCTGTCTCTCTGTCTCTGTCTTTCTGGTGAGTGCACGCACCCTATAATAAAAAGCTCTCAAACAAACAAACAAACAAAAAAGTCCAAAAAACAAAAAAACAAAACGAGGAGACAGGATGAAGGCAACACCCACCCTCTCTGTCTGTCTGGCGAGCGCACGTACCCTGTAAAAAAACCTCTCCAAAAAAAAAAAAAAAAGATTGTCATGGACTGGCCATCTAAACCCAATCTACAAAACAGATCAGACCAGGACTGGCAGATGGCATGGTGGTTAAGGTGCTTGACTCCCGTGTGGCTAATCATGGTTCGAGTCCCAGACCTGGCATCTTGCTTTCTCACTTTCCCTGTCTCTCTCTGGTCAAATAAATAATAATGATAAATCAAATTTTAAAAAAAGAGATCAGACCAAAGGCTAACAAGGTGGCTTAGTTGCCAAGGAGTGCCTTCGGGAAGCGGGGTGGGTTTTTTAGGCAGAGGAGGAACGTGGTGGAGGGGCTGCCTTTTTCTGTTTTCTTCTGCAGGACGACCGAACTTGAACACGAGGGAAACACGCTGTTTGCAAAGCTCCACTTTCTCCTCAGTGGCAGAGGAACACAGCGCTTCAAAATAACTCCACTTTCAGATTGCAAAACAAATCAGGGTGGTTTCGCTCGCAAACGTGGCCAACTGTGTGTCTTTCCCAAAGTGCTTCTTTCATGTTCACTCGCTTGACTGTGGGATCACTTTGCAGTATAGACACGGACCAAAATGGCAAGTTGTACTCATTAAACACAAAAAGTTGTTTCAGTGTGCGTCTGTGTGAAGAGGGGCGGAGGGAGAGAATGTGTGGGAGTCTTTAAACAGAAACATAAAGACGTCCTCAGACTGCATAGGCACAGCCGCGTTCACCCTGGAACCCCAGTTCTCCAGCGTGGCTTGTCCTACCTTAAAGTCCTTGAGGTAGGGGCCATAGTTCACACGCCCCATATTCTCTACCAGAAGGTCCAGAGTGGCCCCTGCCTTCCCCACTATTTTCAGAGTGGTCCAGTTGCTTCGCTCAAGCACTCCCTGGGGGACCTGTGGGTTCGAGGCCAAATGAGAACGGAATTAAGGGGAAGAAGAGCAGCAAAGAGCGGCGGCAGCTCAGTGTAGCACACCCGTCCCTGCCCGAAGTCTCCGGGCTCGGCAGTGATGCTCTGACGGCCCTGGGCCAAGTCACCAAGTCCCGCAAATACTGCTTCTCAACCAGGAAAGTCACCAGGCGGCTTGGAGCACAGGGGCTCCACCTGGTCTCCTTCGCCCTGAATGTTCTGTCATCTGTTATTTGTGTTTTTAGTTTTTGCTAGAGGGGGTGTATGTGTGTGCACACGTATGAGAGAGACAGAGAGAGAGAGAGAAAGTGAGAAATCATCCCACGGGGGCGATGGCCATGCTACAATCCCTTCTCAGCCAGTCTCCTTCAGGGATTTTGGGCACACACGTACACACACCCAGCATGATTTTCCCCCGACATGATCCTGTCATGTTTCCAGTCAGCCAGGACCACATGTGTGATTCCACAGTGTGCCCAGTGTTCAAAGCAAGCCAGGAGCCAAACCCTGGCTCTTCCCCCAGGGCTCTGTGTTGCACAGAGGCACCCACAGCTGGTGCCCTGCAGCACTCATGGCCTCAACCCCTGTGTACCCACCTCCTGTGCCCTGCAGCACCCCCTCCTGTGCCCTGCAGCATCCCCCTCCTGTGCCCTGCAGCACCCACGGCCTGTGCCCTGCAGCACCCCCTCCTGTGCCCTGCAGCATCTCCCTCCTGTGTTCTACAGCACCCCAATGGCAGTGCCCTACAGCACCCACTGCCTGAGTCCCTGTAGCTGGGTCTATTTTTAATGGAAAGAAAATGGAAATGAAATTTCAGGGAAGGATTCCTAGTAGAGAAACTCCTTCATGTTCTCATAGTACAAAAGGCAGTCATAAAATATTAGCTTTGGGCCAGCCAGGTCACATGAGGTGGTTAAGAGGGCTGGATCCCACATGGCTGACGAGGCAGTTCAAGCCCCAGACCCGGTAACTTGACAAGCATGCTGCACACGTGTGCATGCATTCCCAAAATCCCAAGAGGAGAAGAAATTGTGCCATGACCATCCCTTCTGCGGGGGTGGGAAAGAAAGAAAGAAAAGGAAAGAAAAAAGCTTCTAAATAACATGAAGAAATGAGACAAAATCAGAGAAACGAGATAAAATCAAAGATTTAGGCGGAGTATTCTCACCTCAAAATACGTGCTATGATGCATTACCACAAAAATTATATAATAGCATGAAGGAAAACAACAGGTATTTTCTCAGCCACGTATTCCTAATTTTTAAAAAAGGTTAGACTTTTTAAATTAACATGACACTGGCCACAATTTCATTACGACAACTCTCAAATTGGAAGCAGAAAAACAATTCCCTATCAGTGTAATATAACGTCTTAGAAACTTGCTCTCAAATTACAGGGATTCGTTACAAGACAATGGAACTATTTTCTTTAGAGTTATAGCTAATTCTTGTTTTTCATTTTCTTTTATACATTCAATCACATGACTTAGCTTACAAAGTGAATATTTCAAAGGTGAGCATTTCTCCCCAGTCCAGTTGATAAAACTACAAAATATCTTCAACAGATAACACCTCATTTCTTTGACCCATTAATGCTTTGCCTCCCTATTTTTCTTCTAAATGTCCTTCCTCAGACCCTCCTCTTTCACACACACTATATCTGGTGACACTGGAACTATTTTAACTACAACTTGGGTGAACACATTTTCTTGGGTAGGAAAATCTTTTCATGTGTTCTTTCATATAACAATTTCAGGGATGGAGGACCTAAAACGTATCTGCCTTTTGTCAGAAAACAAAGTCCCTTGAGGATTTTAAATATTTAGGTCTTTAACATTTCCTTCCGGAGCAAGAGAGACACAGAAAGAGAACGAGAGAGAAACAGAAAAGAGAGAGCTCACTCCCAGAAGAGTCCCAACTCTGCAATCCAGCCCCAGCCTTCAGCCACAGCAAATGCATACTTGATGTGCTCAGGAAGGTCCCAGGACTTGAACTGGGAACTTTCCTGTAGGAGATTGCCTTGCAGAGCATCACTTTTTACCACTGCGCCACTGTCTGGCGCCTCTTTGTGCATATTACTGGGTTGTCAAGAAAGTCAGGACGCATCTTTGCATAGGAAAGCAGAAAAATACCCATGATTTCCCAACAACCTAATAGTTACAACTGTTGTGAGCAATCTCTCAGGACACAATTTCTCACACAGGTTGAATGTACCAAGTTCAAGGAGGTCTGTATAATGGAGAGTATAAAACCGAACTGGAGATAGGCCCTGTCCTTAAGGAACAAAGCTGTCATGGGCAACATGCCATGGTCGGTCAAAGAAGGACAGCCTTGGACTACAGAGACCCAGAAGGCATCTGAGAAGCTAGGGCCTTGGGCACATCTCTCAGGGCTCAGCTGGGTGGGGGTGTCTTCCAGGCACAGGAAGCATGCGGAAGGCATCTTTAGCAAACAAGGGTACATCTAAAGAACATCAAGAAGAGGGGTAAGCTTGAAGTGGGAGAGGCAGGCAGAGCCTCGAAAGCCCTGTCAACATCTGTAGCTACACATCCCTGAGCTGGCCAGAAATGTGTGGTTCAGAGACAATTCTTACCCCGTCCACAGCAACATAGGCCCGATCGTGGACTCCGCTGAAAGGTGAAGAGAGGGGTGTTGGCTGGCTGCAGTCTTCAGGAAGAGTCGTTCGGTACAGCACAAACCCAAAATACTGGTTAGAAGGGATGTAAGAAAAACTTATCACTCTTGCTGTTCTCATAGAGAATTTGGTTACTCTTAATCTGGAGCAAAGTGATGTTTCAAAACTATAAGGAAGAATCAGCAAATGGTCATGTTGTTGGACTCCCACGTAGTTAACCATGGTTTGAGTCCCGGACCCGGTGGCTTAAACTCAACGCCAGGCGCAGGTGCGTGCGTGCCTAAGATCCCAAGAGGCGAATGGAGGAGAAGGGACTGCAGCGTGGCCATCCCCCTGGGGGGTGATTTCTCGCTTTCTGTCTGTCTGCCTTTCTGTCTTTCTCGCAAGCGCATGCATGCTATAGCAAGAACCTCTCTGGGACCAGCATTTAGTGTAATGGCTATGTCATTGGACTCCCATGTAGTCGACTGCAGTTAGAGTCCTGGACCAGGTGGCTTAAATTCACCCCGGGTGCGTGTATGTGTGTGCCCAAGATCCGGAGAGGAGAATGGAGGGGAAGGGATTGCGGCGTGGTCATCTTCTTTGAGGGGTGATTTCTCGCTTTCTATCGCTTTCTCTCTCTCTTTCTGACAAGCACACGTGCTCTATAGCAAAAACCTCTCCAAAAAAACCCAAACAAATGAAAAAAAAAAAAAAAACCTCTCCGAAAAAAAAAATTTCATCAGTGTGATCATGATGGACAAATCATTAAATTGTCTTTTTTGATATTAAAATTGTGGTGTAGGGGGTCAGCAGGTGGCGGTGGTGGTTAAGGGTGCTGGAGTCCCACATGGCAGACTGTGGTTCAAGTCTCGGACCTGGTGACTTGCTTTCTCACTTTCCCTTTCTCTCTCTCTCTCTTACTCTGTCCTTCTCTGATCAAATTAAAATCAATCAATCAATCAAATAACGTTAAATAAAATAACTCTTAAAAAAAATAATGGTTTTCCACCAATGCTTACTAATAAAATTAGATCAGACAATGCAATCAATTTCTAACTTGTACCGAATGATGGTGCAGCAGACTGAACTACTTCCTGTGTGAGTGATAATAGGAAATGGGGGTTGGGGGGGCTAGGAGAGATCAGCCCCCTGTGAGTACCTAAAGTTAAAGAGAGCTGAGTAAACGGGGTTGCTTTACCTAGAGTCTGACTCATCTGTTTACCATCTGGCCCCTGAGCTCAGAGCAAGCACAATTTTGCAAGTAGAAGACGGTAAAGCATTACCTTTGAAGGCTTACCTGCTTCACCTGGATAAATGTCAAGGGGTAAGGACTCTTTATGGGCCCAGCAGGACACAGAATATCCAGAGCTGCTTCCACTGTTTTTAACTGAAAAGAAACAAAAGAAAAATTCTCCACTGTCATCTTTTTTCTAAAAAAAGAATTATTTTATTTAACTTTATTTATTTACTTATTTTAATTTGACCAGAGAGGGACAAAGTGAGAGAGTGAGAGAGAGAGAGAGAAAGGGAAAGTGAGAAAGCAAGCTGCCAGGTCCAGGACTGGAACCGTGGTCGGCCATGTGGGAGTCCAGCGCCCTTGACCACCATGCTACCTGCCAGCCCCTCCACTGTCACCTTTAACTGATAATCAAAGTAGAGGGTAACATCACTTCCAAATGATCAGAGACATTAGTGGATTTGACCAAACCCCAAGGTAATCCGGAATTATTCAAATTCTACTCAGTGCTGCTTCCCAGTCACCTTCAGCGCTCATCCACTCCCAGCTCTGGATAAAAAATATAAATGATGGTATGCTTGAAAAGAGCTTTGGGGGGACCAGCAGTTGGCATAATGGCTATGTTGCTGGACTCCCACGTAGTCAACCGCGGTTCGAGTCCTGGACCCGGCGGCTTAAACTCACACCAGGTGCATGTGCGTGTATGCCCAAGATCCCGAGAGGAGAATGGAGGAGAAGGGATTGCAGTGTGACCATCCTCCCTAGGGGGTGATTTCTCGCTCTCTGTCTCTCTGTCTCTCTCTGTCTTTCTGGTGAGCGCGTGTGCCCTACAGCAAAAAAACCTCTCCAAAAAAAAAAAAAGAGCTTTGAGGCCAGGAGAGGGTATGGTAGTTAAGGCAGTTGATTCACGTGGCTGGCTGTGTGGTTTGAGTCCACAACCCAGCAGCTTAAAAACCGCACTGGGAGCATGTGCATATGTGCCCAAACTCTCAAGAGGAGAATGGAGGAGAAGGGACTGTGGTGGCTTGAAAAACACACTGGCAGGACCAGCAAATGGTGTAACGGTTATGTCGCTGGACTCCCGCATGGCCGACTGTGGTTCGAGTCCTGGACCTGGAGGCTTCCTTTCTCACTTTCCCCCTCTCTTTCTCTCCGTCTCTGTGTCTCTCTCTAGAAATATTAAAATAATAATAATAAAGTTAAATAAAATAATTCTTTAGGAAAACACCCTGGTGCATGTGCACCATTTCCCTCCTTCTCTCTCTGTCTCCAGTGAGCACACGGGCATGAAGGTTAAAAAAAAAGTTTCAAACATATCTACTCAGCAGACCAAATTGAGATTAACCTAATTTTTTTTTTTTTTGCAAATAAGTCTTTTTTTTTTTTTTTTTGGAGAGGTTTTTTGCTACAGGGTGTGTACACTCCCCAGACAGACAGAGAGAGACAGAGAGACAGAAAGCGAGAAATCACCCCCTAGGGGGGATGGCCACGCCGCAATCCCTTCTCCTCCATTCTTCTCTTGGGATCTTGGGCACGCACGCACACGCGCCCGGCGTGAGTTTAAGCCACCGGGTCTGGGACTCGAACCCCGGTCGGCTACGTGGGAGTTCAGCGACATAGCCATTACACTAACTGCTGGTCCCTGCAAATAAGTCTTTAGTAAAAGGGGGAATGGAGAGAAAAAAAAAATGTTTCAGAAGAAAATTACAGTGCACTTGTCACTAGATTATAAAATGTGGAAAAAAAAACGTTCAGTACGGAAGGGAGGGAAGGGTAAGAGGAAGGAAAAAACTGGTGAAAATATGCTTAACTGACAAAAATGAGAAGTTATTTGCTAATGATAATGTATATAGTAATAGCTTTGTCTTGACTGACACGCATGGTATGTATGTTGGAAAAAGAAATGCATACGGTAAAGACACGTGATTAAATGTAAATAAATTTTTAAAAATATCTATTCAGAAAAACAACCTGCTCAGAGATATACAAAAGACCTTCAAATGAATGAAAACCAAGGTTCAGAGGTTGCTTCCTTTCTTAAACCTACCCCCAATACCCGTGAGTGAAGTAACTATGGAGTAAAAATAGCAACTAGAGGCCAATTACACAAACCCGTTTAGATGGGTTGCTATTATGTCACCTGTTTATAATTACTTCTTAGTTATTTCATTCTCTGAACGTGTCTGAAGCATGTTTTCCATGCCTGTGTCATTAACCGGTTGTTCATCTTTGTCATCCTCACTGACCGTCAGCTCCTTAGGGGTAAAATATATACGGTGCTCAACGTCAATGCCCAGCACAGAGCAGACACTTGCTAAACAGTGTTCAATCAGAAGGATTGTATTCAATCCAAAGAACTGAATAAGCTTGCAACCCACAAGCAGCTATCAGTCATTAGGTGCCTGGCACTCCAGAGGAGTGGGGCGCTGTGCACACATACCTCATTTAATCCTCACACCTAGCTGGTGAGGCAGGCATGACTGTCTCCATATTACAGGTGAGGAAACAGAGACGCACAGAAGCTCATGTGTGTAATGGCAGAGCCAGGATATACAGTTAGATTTGACTCCAAACCTCAGGGCTTTCCATGACATGAAACTAGTTAGAAATTTTATAAACATTTCTTGGGACTAGCAGTTAGCGTAATGGCTATGTCGCTGGACTCCCATGTAGTCAACCCTCAGTTCGAGTCCCAGACCCGGTGGCTTAAACTCACACTGGGCGCATGTGCGTGCATGCTCAAGATCCCAAGAAGAGAATAGAGGAGAAGGGATTGCGGTGTGACCATCCCCCTGGGGGGTGATTTCTCGCTTTCTGTCTCTCTGTCTCTCTCTGTCTCTCTGGTGAGCACACGTGCCCTATAGCAAAAACCTCTCCAAAAAAAATATTTTTATAAACATTTCTCATAGCTACCTTGCTAATATAGCAGGGAGGGGGAAATGTTAATTATAATTACATCAAGTCCTCTACTCACGCCTGAGCAACTAAAGAAATTTGACTTGTGGACTGGCCCTATAGCTTAGTGGTTAAAGGAGCTGGACCCCACATGGTCAACCACGGTTCACACCCCAACCCTGGTGGCTTGAAAAGCACACCAGTGTGTGTGCATGTGTGTGCGCGTGTGTTCCTCAAATCCTGACAGGACAGAAATGGGGGAGAAGGGATTGCGATGTGACCACACCCCACTGTGGGGCGCTTTCTCTTTCTCTCTCTGGTGAGCGTACATATGTACATACTGGCAATTAAAAAGAAAGGAAGGAATTCAACGCACAGTAAAAACTTTTATTCTACACAACTGGGTTCTAAATAAACTTAATTCAGTTATAGCCAGTTGCTGTCATAAATTATACACATTTACTTAACAGTACAAAGCCATTTTTGCTCACACCATTTCCCTTATGGTTCTTTTGTTTGTTTGTTTTGTTTTTTTTTTGGAGAGGTTTTCGCTATAGGGCACGTGTGCTCGCCAGACAGACAGAGAGAGAGAGACAGAAAACGAGAAATCACCCCCCAGGGGGATGGCCATGCCACAATCCCTTCTCCTCCATTCTCCTCTTGGGATCTTGGGCACGCACGCACACGCACCCAGCATGAGTTTTAAGCCACCGGGTCCAGGACGCAAACCGTGGTCGACTACGTGGGAGTCCAGTGACATAGCCATTACGCTAACTGCTGGTTCCCCCCTTATGGTTCTTTTGATACTATGCTAGCTTATTTTAGCAATATTGTTGATTGAAACAATTGGAGGTTTTTTGTTGTTGTCATTGCCTAAAAATAAATCTTTCAGGGCTCTAAAACAAACCAATGCACCTTTTTCTTAAGCAGCTATGGCAATAGATAAACAAGTAGAAGGTGTTCCCTTCGCAAGTGTGCTTAAAGTCTGATTAATCTAAAGAAAGATTCCTATCAGGCAGAGACCACGTTCTTCGTAGACTGTAGCACATGCACCTGACACGAGATGGAAAATGTTACAAGGCTCAACCAACCAACCATAATGTCAAGGGTTTCTTGAATGGAAAAGTTGTACAATCATGTTTGGCATTTTACTTAGAGATAAAAACGTTACGATACTATTTTAGGATATCAAGATTCTTAAGAACTAGGTAACTGTTCATTATTTTTCTTGTAAGTTAATACATGTGGGAGTTAGGGATTATAAAAGGGGAAAACCTAAAGACGGAGATAGTCAAAACAAACCAACTTTGGCTTCTATTACTCCTTCTGACTATTAACTAAATCGTCTTTCTGTCTTTTCCTAGAATCAAATGCCCTTAATTCCAGTTTACGGTTAATTTGTAGTTTTTTCCCCCGGTATCCTGTTTACCATATAAACCACAGGTCACAAAAATTAGGAATGATTTTGAGTTGTAGGGAAGTTATCATTTGGGGCAGAGGTCTATTAAAATGCCTTTGGTTTTTGGAAGCCCCTTTAAAAAAAGAAGGTGAATTACTGCAAAGATCCTGGCCAGCCAGAACAATGAGGTGACCTTTTATTTCCACAAAGGATCCTGACACCTTTGTGACAACTGATCATTGAACCAAGTGACCTGAATGATCTAAGAATGTCAACTGCTCCCACTCAAGCTCCGTTGGCTCATCGCATCAATAGACACGTCTTCTCATCTCTCTATTTTCCCAGAAGCATCCATCCCACCAGGCTTGCAGAAAACAAATTCATAGAAAAATAACGAACTGATTCCCTACCACTGCCCTTTGGCTCACTGCTGCTAAATTCTGCTTCTCACTTCCATCTCATGTTCAACATTCCTGGTATTGTTTTCTTACCTTTTTCAGAACAACCTTTCCATATGCAAACTTAGGTGTGGATGGAGGGATGGGACCTTCTGGTATTTTTGCAAACTAGAGACCAAAGTAAAAGAGAGAGAGAGAGAAAGCTGTTAAAACTTGAAAAATGTACCCGTAAAATTTACTTTTCAAAAAGAAGGTCAAAGATTCAAACAACAGTGCTAGTGATTTTTGGAAAGTCAAAGGACAAAGGACTTCTTCCAAAACAGGATCTGGTCAAGTTTTTCCTCCTCTGTGTGTGTCTGTGTTTCAAGATCTGGGAATCAACCAGATAATCACAGAATAAAAGACTTCAAAGCCGAAGAGCAAAAACAAGTAGAGTAGATGAGTAGAACAGCAGAAGACTGGGGAGTGGGGTAATAAAAGTAAAAAGATAGATGGCAAAAAGAATCCAAAGGAAGATAGTCTACAGTAAGAAGAAATAGTAACTACCTTTACTGGGAGATTAAAGCTTTGTTATCAATGTTAAATTTCCTCTGGTGGGACCAGAAGTTGGCGTAAGGGCTATGTTGTTGGACTCCTATGTAGTCAACTGCGGTTCGACTCCCAGACCCGGTGGCTTAAATGCACACCAGGCGCATGTGCATGCGTGCCCAAGATCCCGAGAGGAGAATGAAGGAGAAGGGATTGCAGCGTGGCCATCCCCCCTGGGGGAGTGATTTCTCACTTTCTGTCTCTCTGTCTCTCTCTGTCTTTCTGGTGAGTGCACATGCCCTATAGCAAAAACTTCTCAAAAAAAGAAAAATTTACTGTGGCTATGGGGGCCAGCAGTTAAGGCACTGGACTTCCACATGGCCGACCGTGGTTTGAGTCTTGGATCTGGTGGCTTGCTTTCTCGCTTTCTCTCATCTGGTGAGCACACGTACCCTATAGCAAATTTGAAAAATAATAATAATAAATAAAATTAAAATTAAATCACTATTTTTAAGAGGTTTTTGCCTTAAGGCATATGCACTCGCAGGAGAGAGAGAGACAGAGAGAGACAGAACAGTGAGACGGAAAGTGAGAAATCACCCCCCCAGGGGCATGGCCATGAGGAAATCCTTTCTCCTCCATACTCCTCCCAGGATCTTGGGCATGCACACACATGCACCCAGTGTAAGTTTCAAGCCACCAGGTCTAGGAATTGAACTGTGGTGGGCCATGTGGGAGTCCAGCAACATAACCATTATGCCATCTGGTGGCCCAAAAATAAACAATTCTTTTTTTTTTTTTGAGAGGTTTTTGCTATAGGGCGCATGCGCTCGCCAGACAGACAGAGAGAGACATAGAGACAGAAAGCGAGAAATCACCCCCCAGGGGGGATGGTCACGCCGCAATCCCTTCTCCTCCAT